GTGGGTCAGGAGAGGTCTGCCATGCCATGTGGATCACCTCCGGGGCAGGCAGGAATCAAACTTTTTTAAACATTGCTTTAGTTTCTTGGTGCTGTGTTTTAACCAGCTGCGCCACCACGGAGGGCCTGATCTCAGTTTTCTTAATGGTCAAATGAAGTTGTTTCTACCTCCCTTCTAATTCCAAGATACCAAAAGTTGGGAGGCAAGTAATTTGACTACATTGAACTGGCCGTTTCAATAATTCCTTCAAAACAAGAGCTCTCTGACTTCTGCCCAGCTTTCCAGGGCAGCATTCCCATTCAACATCTTTTCCCTTGACCACTTCTGCCCTCTAGTGATAAACTCAATTATACAATGAAATTGGCTTGGCAAATAGTCTGCTTCAGGGGAGTAAATGAAATAAAAGGACAAGGATGCAGTAGATAACACTTGGTGTTGAAGCAAAGGCAGGTAGGCCAGCCAAAGATCAGGGACGGAAAGAATGCAAATGGCCATTCCTCTTCTGCAGTGGGCCCACAGTGTGCCTTTGACCTCTGCAAAACTCTGCAGTTTTAATTTTTTGTGTAGAATTGGGGTTTGGGGTGCAAAGATTCACCAGAGACAGAGTGGTAAGCAGAACAGGTGTCTACTGAAGTACACTGCTGAGGGGAGCAGTGGGTGAGAAAGGAGAGGTCTGCTGTGCCATGTGGGCAGCTCCCTGGCTGGGACCATCAACTCAGGCCTTAGCAGTGATAGTGTTGAGACTTAACCCTTAGGTCACCAGGGAGGCCCACATTTTTTTTTCCACTTTGCAAGATAGAGGACATATTAAAACTTTTGATGACTGTTACATACTTGATGAGGATGACTAAACATTTGTTTAAAATACATCTGTCAAGAAGAGTTAAGACACCTACTTAATATTCATTGTCAGTCTCAATGGTTCATGAATTTACCTATAGGAATAGATTTTGAACTAAAACCACATACTATTAAGTCCCTAACTTCCTAAGCATCATTCACTGGTGTTAATACCTTAGAAAGTATGGCTGGTTCTTCCTCTATCACATAACTAATAAACATCAGGTCACTCCTGGCCATATATCTTTTCTGTATGTAAACATTGGTTGCATTTCTAGCATAGGCACAAAAAAAGAGGTTTCAATAATGTAAACAGAGACTTAGGTTAATCAATAAGAGGTCTTCTTAACCACGTGTTGTTACTAATAAGTGGACGAGAGGTTAAACATCTTCTTTTGGAATCTTTAAGAAGAGGAAAATATCTATATATATTTTAACACAAAACAATAATATTTTAACACAAAATATTATTGTTGAATGATTCCACATTAGTGAAATTCAAGAACAGTTAATACTAATGATGGCAATAGAAGTCAGAAGAGGAGTTACCTCTCAAGACCCTTGTGAGGATGCCTGAAACTGGGGCTAATACCAAACCCTAAATATACAGCTGGCCCTTGAACAACATGGGCTTGAATTGTGTGGGCCCAATTATATACATATATATATTTCTATCTCTGATTCTTCAACCTCAACCATCCGCAGTTGGCTGAATCCATGGATATGGAGAGCCAACTATAACTTACGTGTGGCTTTTCCACTGGTTTTAGTACCCCTAATTCCTGGGTTTTTCTGGGATCAAATCTCGTCTATGTATATGTGATAAAGGTAAGAGATCAACAACAATAACTAATAATTAAATTAGAATAATTTATTATAATTAAAAAGTTATATGAATGCAGTCTCTCAAAGTATCTTATTGTACACAGTATTTTCTGACTGTGGGTAGCTAAAACTTTAGGAAACAGAATCTCATATGGTGGGGGGGGCTACTGTACTGGCGTATACAACTGTCAAAATTCAGCAAACAGTAAACTTAAGGTCCATGCAGCTTGTGGATTGTAAATGATATCTTGATTTAAAAAAAGATGTCAGAGTCTTGGGAAGAGTTAACCTCAAAAGTGAAAGCTTTACCACTCCACAGGAGACAGAGAAGTCAGCTGCGACCTCAGTAGTGAACCAATCCTGAGCCAAACACCCAGAAAGGAGGAGCTCCCCTGGTTTTCAGCAGTAAACAAGCTGCTTGGCTAACAGTGCCATTTCAAGGCAACACTCCAGTTGGCTGACCCATCTCAGCAGCAGCCCCAAGTGAACTCTGCCATCTGATGGAAGGACAAGGAAGTGGGAGAGAAAGAAAGTCATCACATGTTACTGATTGTCTTGAAATAGAAATGTAGCAATGTACACTGAGCCCTAACCAGGCGTGCTGCTCTGTGGGCCGTGTAGCTAATGGCACCAAGCCTGCTAGTGTTCCATGAGTGTACTTTCGAGAAAAACAGGTAAATTTCTTTGACATACACTGGAGTAATGAGGCAAGAAGCTAAAGTAAATGAGGCTTTTACCGGAAAGAAAAAGGACAAAAATCGCCTGTGCTGGTCAGTCTTGTCTTCCGCACTGCTGGTGGGCCAGTGGCATCTGTGCTTGTGCCAATTTTGGTTCACCCGCACACACTCGAAGTAACCAGTCTGGAGAGAACAGCCTGTTGATTTTTCTCTCAGATGCACCCACCTGAGGAACACCAGTAGATGCCTCAAGCAACTGGATGAATGGAATATTTTTCAGTCTAACAAAAACACTTTCATGGCAAACCGCAAGTCTCTGCTTTTCCTCATCAGTCAGGAAATCTTTTCTGTGCTTTAAGTCAATAGTTCTAAAATGAATTCTGACTTCTCCGAGAAGAACATCTTAATTTTTCTTACTTGTCACCCGAGGCTAGGATTTTTCCATTTCAAGTAATTTAGAAAAGTAGTATAGAAAAGTAGACACAAAGATTTTCACTGACAAAAGACATTCCATGAGCACAAAGCCTCCCTTATTATGATTCCCTCTATGGATTTCAATGACCTCAACAGCTCTCGGGAGATCACAGTCCCTTTCAATGCTGGGTATCTGTTACTCAAGAGTCTCTCTTTGGGTCTTGTGTGATTACCAAAGCAACTTTGCTGCACTCCTCTCTGTCTCCAAAAGCCTCTCGAAGCCTTCTGAAGAACTCAAGTTGAAGAGCTGCTGTACACGTGATCACATATGGGCTCCCGAGGGAACCTCTATGCGGCATTTCCACATGACACACCTCATTCTTGTGAAGGGGCCCTCATTCAAGGTTAGGCAATTTTGCAAGGCCATTAGTAACTGTTTTGGACCTTAAGGAAGATACAGGCAGGTCAATGACTGCTAAAAATGAGCTGTAGATTGTCAATATGTGTTGAAGACATACTTTCAACTAGGGTGCAAAATGGCAATGTCTTCACACATAATTTCTAACAGAAATGAACATTCAGTCAATTCATTTAGTCAAAGCCAAACCCTGTCCTTGCTGTACAATATCTTTATAAGAAAAGTCACTGACTTTTTTTTAGCATATCTGTATGGTTCACATGATCTTGGATTAGTAAGAAAGCAGGGTCCATGTCACAATTGCAGAGAAAAGTTGGATGCCAGACCTTAAAGGGTCTGAGCTATAAAAGGCCAGGCACTGAGCCTTATTTCAAAGTAAAATGTAAATGACTTTTGGACTCGTGGATGTTTTTACATTTTTGCATTTATGTTCCTCTTTATTAATGTAATCCATAAGAGAAATATTATCACGCTTCACCTTTCTTCCAATGATTTCACGGTACTTTATATGATCCAGTAACGCACTCATGACAGAAAAAGACGGATTCTATCACTGCCAGGGGTTGGCATCAAGCATGGACAATGGTAGGAAATTAGTTCAAGAGCAAGGAAATTGTTATTCCAGATCAGAGAGGCATCAACCAAGCATCCCCCACCTTTTTCAGAGGAATGTCTATCTCCAAACTCTCCTCTACTCGAATCTGCACAGGTCTGCTTTCCCCTCTATTAACATTACACACACAGGAGCAGGGCTGAGTCATAAAGGGACATGCCTGATCGGCTTGTCACTTACCCACTTCTGCTTTACTTCTTCAGACACATCAGCTTCATCGTCCTGAAAAGCAAGAAAGAAGAAAAACAAGAGGATCATGGTCATAGGCGTCCTTGAAAACAAGGATGATTTTGGCAATTCAAACGTGGGCAGTGATAACTGACTGCCAAGTAATGTTCTGTTAGTGTTGCTTTCAACAGCTGTCAGAGGCAGGGAGTCTGGGAACATCACCTGTAGTCAAAAACATCACGTGCTCCACAGTCGGAGAAGGGGTATCTTTAAGAAAACATAATTTATTTCATCTTTGCCAAGTTATCAGTCTATTTGTTCCCAAAACTGAAATTTATTTTTGAAGACTTATTTCATTTATTTATGCATGTAAGAGCTGGGGTGTAGGTCAGAGGTATCTGTACGTGTGGGGACTGAAAGGCTGCATCAGAGACAGAGTGGGGAGCAGAACAGGCAGGCTGACTGAAATACACTGCTGAGGGGAGCAGGAGAGGTCTGCTGCGCCCTGTGGGTCACCTCCCTGGCTGGGGTTGAACTTGTGCTGCAGTGGCTGTGGAGAGCTTCAGAGCGCTGCGCTTTAACCCTTTGTACTACCGGGGAAGTTCCAACAATGAAATATTTTGATCTAAAAGACAGTTTCTAATAGATGACTATTGATGCTTCATTTCCTGTCTCATTCAAACAATCACTGATCTCTTCATTATTGGCCACTTGAGTTTTTAAAATGCCAATAACAAAGTCGAGTGGGAAGGCTATAGAACAGGAGGGTGATTTACAGTATGAAATGTGTGTTTCTCGTTTGCAAGCACGGTGTACCTGTCTTATTTTAAAGTCTATCTCTTTTGCATTATTTGTTCCTTTTTTCCTCCAGAATAAAATTAAGTCAAAAGTACTTGTGCTCCTTACAGATTTTAAGTTACTTGAAATTCCTGTAGTTCTTCTAAAATATTTAATCAGAAATTCTGCTTAGATGAGGTACTAAGATATTCTTGACTACATGACTTTCAGCAATCCTTGCAGAAATCTAGGGAGGACTGCTAACATTTGACAAGTTCATTTACTCTTTATATTTACTGACATGCTTGTTATGAATGTCTAGTTTTTTCATTCTTCACCGATTGTTCCTGAGTGCCTACTATGTGCTTGGCGCTGTGTTAGCTGCCCAGCAGCCAGCAGGAACACACACACTCACTAGCTGGTCTTCCTTTCCCTCAGATTAATACTTTCTAGCGACCTCCGAGATTCATGTACCGGGTGGGACTCTGTTCTGAACTCAACACACGGATGGCAGCCTAGGGCCCGGGAGCTGCCATCGCACACAACAGGCCACTCACATCTCTTGTCCAGAAGTTGATGCCAGTGCCTCTCCGTCGCTCCTTGGGCCGCCTCCTGTCACGGGTGGACAGCCTGTTAGAGGACTGATCATCCAAGTCTGCTTCTTCGCTCTCTGGACAGAGGAAATAAAGTGTGAACTTTAGAAGTCTGGGGCACGCTCACTGGGGCGGGGAGGCCTGTGCTTCCTGAAGCGGCACCTACCATTTTTGTCCATTTCTTCTGTAGTCGTGGCCTTTGTGGTAGTTTCGGAACTCTCAGAATCGGGGTCTGAAGATCTATTTGTCCGAAGCAGATGGGAGCTGGTGTAGAGAGAGGATCTTGATGCAGAAGGAGACACTGGTGTTGTGAGTTTGTCTGGCTGAGCTGGACACCTCAGGCGACGATAGACAGGCTGGAAATTATCCGTGGGATGAGATGTGAGAGGTCAAGTCCAACCACAGGATAAGGATAGCAGACTTAATATAATTGTTTCTTTTTCTGGGGCCCTCCCTGATGGGGTGTGTGTGGGTGGGGAGTGAAAGGCCCTCCCTGATGCAAGGGGTTAAAGCCCAACACTATGAAGCTGTCCACAGCCAAAGCAGCATGAGTTTGGTCCCCAGCCAGGAGCTTACCCACAGGCACATACAGACCCCTCCTGTCACCTCCACTGTTCCCCTCGGCAGTGTGTTTCAGTTGATCTGCCACTCTGTCTCTGGTGAATCCTCTCAAAGTAACCCCCCTTGCACCTCTGGCCTGTACCCCAGTTCTTGTATGCATAAATAAATCTTTTTTTTTTTTTTAAAGATTTATTTATTTGTACATAGAGAACTGGGGTACAGGCCAGAGGCTCAGGGGCAGTGAGAGGCTTCACCAGAGACAGAGCGGGGAGCAGAACAGGCAGATCGATGAAGTACACTGCTGAGGGGAGCAGCGGGCGGGTCAGGAGAGGTCTGCCTCGCCATGTGGTCTCCTCCGGGGCAGGCGGGATTTGAACTCATGCGGAAGTGGCTTTAGCTTCTCAGTGCAGTGCTTTAACCCGCTGCGCCACCAGGGAGGGCCTAAATAAATCTTTTTTAAAAAGTTTTTTTCCCCCCGCTGTACCAAGAGACTTATTAGTTATGTGTTCAATAAATGGCTATAAAGCTCTCTAATCAGCCAGAAAGGAAACAGATTCAGACTCATATGGCAACATCATTATCATATTGATAGAAGCCCAAGAAAAGTGTTCCTAAATAGATTCAGGGCACAAAGTAGCACTAGCCTTTTGACAAAATTCCTTTGATCTTAAAGTAAAAGTAGTAAGAGGATGATGAGCTGAGAGGCTATGTTGACACCAGAAAATTAAAAGTTGAGGAATATGTAGGAGATATCTGAGAACAGAGCTAAATCTGAGCATTTCTGAAAACTTGCTAGGGCTGGTTTTATTAACACTTTAAAAACCCCATTTTTCTGCTTGGAATTTTTTTCTGAGAGGACAGGTAGAACGTGACAGTAAGGTTTAACTTGGTTTATCAAAGATGCAGAGATAGAGACACTCTCATTAACATAGAGGCTATATATATGCTAATAAAATACAGAGACATAACCAAAATATGAAGTAAGCTTTGGAGTCAGATAGAACTTGTTAAAATTCTAGCTTCGGCACTTACTAGCTATGTGACCTGAAATCAATGACTTAACTTTGCCGAGCCTCAACTTCCTTATATATAAATAGGGGTAGTAGCTTCCCAGAGAGTTTTGTGAGGATTAAACAAGATGATGTGTTCAATGCTTAAAACAGCACCTGGTAATAAATGCTCGATAAATAGCTGATAAAACAACCAACAGAGCCTCAGTCGATGCAGCCTAACCAGTCAGAGTTAGGACAAGAAATTTGTCACAACTGGGACATGCTGAGAGGAAGGAGGGACACAGAGGGCCGTGAGAAAAGCCAAGGGCGCTGGCCATCCTAGTAAAGTGGGAGCGCATTCACTCTGAATAGAACCCTCCATCTTTGGCTACCAGACCCTCTGGAGAAGTGGCTTGTAAGTGAAACTGCCCACCCGATAGTGACGTCTTGGGGTAGGAGATGAAGGTGCTTTGTAAACTCAGGTTTGCAGAGATTAAGACAATGATGCCAGTGGATCTGGATGCTTTTGTTTGAATTCTTGCTTAGTCACTTCTTAGCTGTGTGAAAGGGGGAAATTTCCTTAACCTCTCTATGACTCAATTTCTTCATATTTAAAATATGAATAAAAACACCTACCTGGGGGGTTGCTTTGAAGGTTAAACAAATACCATACACATGATGCAGTTTAAACAGTGCCTGGCATAAACAATGGGTAAATGCTTAATTTCTATTTGCATTTTATGATGTTGTGACTAGTCTTTTTAGAAAAGATTCCATTAAAGATCAAGTTAACTAAATTCCTTGAAGGTTAAATTTAGTTCATTTGACAACTTAGTTAACTCCACCTCAAGTGGCATTCAGTTCATCATGCTCTGCATGGAACATAATGGCTTATGCCAATATGTGTAGCTCAATAAAACTGGGGAGCAAGCATCAGCTAATTCTCAGAGGAAGAAAATGATTACTTAAGGCTGTCAGTTTGTCTGAATTCTTTCAAGTCACACAGGTTTGCCAAGACAGACATAAACAGATTTTCCTATAAGTTGTCCACTTCAAAGTAGTAAAGCAATTGAATTATCAGTGAGGAAGAATTTTCCACGAGTTATCCAGCTTTCAGTAGAGAAAGTGCAAACAAAACAAGCTTACCTCTTCATCCAGACTCCCGCCCCTTCGGTCTTCCCCAGCTTCCTTGGAAGAAGCAGCTGAAGACTCATACTTCTCGGTGCTCCCCTCAGGGTCTCTGGGCTTTGGGCTAGGCTGATCCTGAGCTTGCCGCTCTGCCCGCGATCGGCTGAAAGTCCTTTCTGCTTCCTGAAGGTCTGTTAGGGTTACACCCTGGGAAAATATGACAAGGTCAGGGAAGTTGTACTCTAATCATGGAGTAACTTTTGATGAATGAGAGTAGGGAAACTCCCTAAAAGACTGAATAGTATCGAATTTCAAATGAAGCTTCCAAAATGCATGAGGCAACTGCAAACACAATGTGCGTGAGCACTCCAGTGTGCAGACCCCAGATTGGAATGAGGTACATTTCAGACATAGTATTTGTTTTTCCAATTTGAGCTCTGAAAATAGGTCAGCAGGGAAACCCGCCCAGTGCCAGTACTTCTCAACACCTTCATTTGAAAACTCCCATCCCTGCTGAGGGCAAGTGTTTACCAATAGGGATTCTCTAAGTAGCAGATACCAGAAAAACTTGATTTTACTCAGGAAAATCTGACTCAAAAAAAAAAAAAAAAACAACTAGACTCAAAGGTGAAAGTTCAGAACGAGGCTAGAATAAAAGCACCTCTCCTCCTCACTCAGCCCCTCCAAAACCCCCCCTAGACTGGCTTTTTCTCTTTCATCGTTTCCCAGGTACCTAGGGAATCACAGAGAGATATTCCAACAGCTAATGTTTCCCTCAGGCTCACAGGGAAAGCAGGACAGAACAAAGCAAAAATGAAGAGACAAGTGTAAGAGAAGGGGATGATCAGGAAGGGAGTGAGGTGATTCTACTTCAAGGAGTTATGTCTAAGTCCTCAGAAGAGGGCAGTCCCAAAGTTGGAATGTAGTTAAGCAAGTATTATATGCACGACTTGCTTAAAAAAAAAAAAACTGTTCATTAATTTATTCACTCATCCTTGTCATAAGGAGCTAAGTCTCTTATTAAGTACTGGGTCTACAAGACAAATCAAAGGATTCCTTACTCAAAAACCTTTGTCTAGTAGAAAAGATAAAAAATGAGGGGAGTAGAATGGAATATAAGACAAAACATATGACCCCACAAATTCTACTTGTGGGTATGTACTCAGAAGAACCGCAAGCAGGGCCCGGAAGAGATCACTTGTATACACTAAAGCAGCTTCTCCTCTGCTGGGAGAAGCCCTTTTTTTTTTTTTTTTTTTTGCAGAGGTGGGAAGAAATAGACGGAAGCTGGTCAAATCAGGTATTTAACTATCAGCTAAAATGTGGAGACAGATGCATTATTCACACCAACCAAAAGGTGGAAGCAATCCAGGTGTCTTAACAACAGGTGAATGGATAAGCAAAATGTTCAGTACAGTCCTGAGTACACTGGACTAGGGGCTCGGCTCCCGAGAAACTAGGTGTTAGGCGAATTCGTCACTGGGTGGCGCTATAGAGCTTGACTGGCAGCTACCCAGCAAAGTGCTATGCTGCAGCCGGTGGCCAGCATAGCTGTCTACAGTCCACTGTTGACCAAAACATAGCCAAGCAGCACGTGGCTGTCCACACATAGTAACATGTTATTTTTTAAAAGGAAGAAAATTCTTACACCTGCTATGACATGGATGAAACTTGAAGACATAAAACTAAGTGAAATAAGCAGGCTTCAAAATGACAAATATTCTATGATTCCACTTGTAAGAGATACTTAGTCACTCATGGAGACAAAGGGTAGACTGTAGGGAGAGGGGCTACTGTTGAGTGGGGAGGAGGTCCAAGTGTAGGAAGATACAAAGTGTTCTGGAGATAGATGCTAGTTACAAAATAAGGTGAATGGATTTAATTCCACTGAATTGAACACTTAAAAGATGGCTAAAGTAGTGAATTGTCTGTTATGTGTATGTGACCACAATGAGCCAAAACAAAAATATAATCAAACTTGGTCCTCATGGAGGTTACATTCTTCTAGGGGAACAGTCGAAAATTCATGAAAGGAAACCAAATAACATGCTAAAGTAGAGAGAAAGGACACTTGATCTATGTTGGGAGGGTCAGAAAAGACAGCTGGGGCGTGTCGCTGCCATCTACACTGCTCCTTTGTCAGTCGTGAACTTTTTTACGAGACATCTATAGCATTTAAAACTGTTGAACTTTCCTTTTCACATGGAACTGACCATTCACTTCTGTGGCACCAACAGTTCCTGCTTTACTTTCCTCCTTTGCCTATATTCCTTTTCATTCTGCTTCATCTGCTTATTCACATCCTCTGTCTCCTTAAATAATACTTATTCATAGCTTTGTCTCTTTCTCATTGCCATGATAAGCCGAGTTTGTGGTCCTATTATTTCCAGAGTGGACAACTGTAACTGTCCAACCGAACTCCTTGCTTCCAGGTTTGATGAACAGAATTTTGTCCAGCACTTCCCATCAATTCTTTGCACAGTGATATTTACAAAAATACAATGCAGATTATATCAAAGTCCTCCTTACTTTAATGGCTCCTTTAGGGATCCTTTTTTACTCTCTTTGGAATGTTTTCTTGAGTTGTAACTACTTACGGAGTATTGTAAACGTCACCACAAATTTCAGGACTCCATCAGGAGTCACTTCCCACTCCTCGCTCTCTCTAGCCTGTGGTGACCTCTGATCTGCTTTTTATTTTTCTGGATCTGTCTATTCTGGGCATTTTCACATAAATGCAGTCCTATCTGGTTTCTTTCACTTTGCAATGCTTCCTGAAGTTCATCCACAATGTCTCATTAACACATACCAGTACTTCATTTCTTTTCACTGCCAAATAATATTCCATTGTGTGGATATATAGCATTTTGTTTATGTAACAATTTGGAAATTTGGGTTGTGTATGTCTCAGGTGATAACTGCTTAATGGCTCAGCTTGGGCCTAGCACTCCCACAACTGCTGAGCATCCCTGAGGTACAACGAGCCACACACGCTAAATATTTGGTGCAGCTAGAAGCCCAATGCTCTACGCTACAGCAAACTTGCAAACTCTACACATAAATACAGCCTATACAGAAAATAAACTCTGGCCAGAGAGAACACTGAATTTTGAGTCATGCTATTATAAATACGTGCATCCATGTTTTTACATGGACATATATTTTCATTTTTTATACACCTAAGAGTAGAATTGCTAGATCACGTGGTGACTTTACATTTATTATTTTAAGGAAATATCAAATGGTTCTCTTTTGGGGGTTAAGATGTGGTCCCTTCCACAAGTGGAACAGTTAACCTTTGGAAGGAAAGGAGATAAACCATGTCTGACCCTGGAGGAGAGATGTGAGAGCAGGCAGGTATAGCCCTAACTTTATTTGATTGTGTGTGGTAGAAGACTGAACACAGGTGAAAGCCTTTACTATTGAAATTTGAAGAAGGTGCTCATCATACTACTTTTTTTCCTATCTCCAATGGGAAAGTAGAGCACAAAAGGACATTAAAGGCAAGCGTCCATACGTACTTGAGTAGACCTTCGAGTCTGCCGAGCTTGTCTGGAGCGCGCTTTCCGTAAAGACTCTGCTTCTTCATCCCGTACAGGAGTTAGATATGACCTGCAGAGAAGTAAAAGCAGATATAAGACCTCTGCTGCATGTACCTGAGTATAGACAAGGCACTTTCACATACTGAAGTGATGTCTACACTCTAAGAATGAACTTAGGAGACCACAATTGTAATCCCTTTAGGTCTATTACTGAATAACAAAGTTACCTTGTTTGAATATCTCCTTAGGCCTCGATTGTCTCATATGTAAAATACAAATGATTTTATCATCTCTATCTGGAATTAGATCAAATGACTTCTTGAAGTCATGAATAAATGATTCTATTTTTTCCCTAAGTTTTCCCCCTCCTCTAGAACTATGTTTCTAGGTTGATATCACTGTTCTTTTTGGCCTGTCTGAAATACCTTTCTACATGTAGCTTTATACATAAGACTTAGTCCTAGGAATGACAAGCTGTTTTATGAGACCATTAAGTATTCTGGAATTAATGACCACAGAATTCTGAATACTACAAAAAACATATACTCTTTTTTTTCTTTTGTTTTTGGCTTTTCATTTATTGATTCACTTTTAAACACTGACCTGACATTGGTTTACAACACTGTATGCCTTAAGTCGAAAGTCCAGAAATGAAACTACACATGCATATTCATCTAACCTGTGACAAAGGACCTAAGACTAGACACTGGGTAGCCTCTTCAACAAGTGGTGCTGGGAAAACTGGACCACCACATGCGAAAGAATGAAACTAGACTACTAGAATGCAACTATTTCACACTATACACAAAAACCAACTCAAAATGGATAAAAGACTTGAACTTAAGACCTAAAACCACAAAATAAGTAAAAGAAGACACAGGCAAAACACTCCATGACATAAACCTCAGAAACATCTCTGAGTTCTTTTCTCCAGAAGTGAGGAAAACAATGGAGAAGACAACTGAGGAATCAAACTAAGAGGCTTCTAACAGCAAGATAAGATGAAGAGACACCCTACTGAAGGGGAGAAAATGTTTGCACACCATACAATTGATAAGAACTGATATCAAAGATCTACAAAGAGTTCACACATCTCAACAAAAGCAATACAAACAACCCAGCTAGAAAAGCTAAAAAGACATTTCTCCAAAGAAGAAATGCAGTGGCCAACAGGCATATGAAAAAATGTACATCACTGATTACCAGGGAAATGCAAATCACAACCACAATGAGATACCTACCTCACACCTGTGAAAATGGTCCATAAAAACAAAAAAACAAAAAAACTGACAACAAATGCCAGGGAGACTGCACGCCCTGTAGCACTCTTACAACAGCCAAGATATGGAAACAACCTAAATGCCCAAAGCAGATGAGTGGATCAAGAACATGTGGCATAGACACTGTGGAACACCACTCAGCTATCAAGGAAGATAAGCTCATGCCACTCAACATGGATGCAGTTGGAAGGGGTTAAGCTCAGTGAAGTAAGTCAGAAGGAAAAAGAAAAACCTCAGATGGTTTCATGGCAGGTAGAATATAGGAAACTGAATGAAGGGTCAGGAAAATGCCAAAAGCCCCAAGCTGACCACAGATCTGAGGGACACAGCAGGGGAGGGAGACCTCTGACCAGAGGAGGGGAGAACGCAGGGACTATGGCTGTGGTGGCAGCAGAATTATGGGGGTGACACCTAAGGGGAGAAATTAAATACTGGACAAACATGAACAATGATGTAAGAAAATGAATAAATTTAACTAAAAAAACTACACTGTGTATTTTAGGTAGAGGTTCACACCTCTTCGAACATGTATTACCACTCTATGCCCACAGAATATTCTTCACGCTCAACTTGGGTCCTTGCTTGTTTGAAGCTAACCAGTTAAGCACTCTTCTCTTTTCAGTACGTATTTTATATGTAGGATTCCTTAAAGCTATTTTTAAAACCAACTTCCTAATGGTAGATTCCAGAAGAAAATTTCATTCTCTTGGGCCCTCCCTGGTGGTGCAACAGGTTAAAGCACAGCACTATGAAGCTCTCTGCAGCCGCTGCAGCACGAGTTTGATCCCCGGCCAGGGAGATGACCCGCATGGTGCAGCAGACCTCTCCTGTCACGCCCACTGCTCCCCTCCGGAGTGTATGTCACTCAATCTGCCTGTTCTGCTCCCCACTCTGTCTCTGGTAAATCCTCTCACCCCACACCTCTGGCCTGTACCCCAGTTCTTGTAGCATAAGTAAATAAATCTTAAAAAAAAACAAAAGAAAATATTATTCTCTCCTTGTTTTAGGGAGAACAACTTTGTTCTCTCATTGGAAATCATGGTTATTTCTCCGTCATTCTTCTATTTTATTTCATTCATGTCACTCTTTGAACTTCCTGCTCCCAGCCGCTTTTTGTATACAATGCCACAACAAAGACTGTTTCTTGCCCTAGTACCTTGCTATGTGGATTTACAGAGCAAGCCAGGTCCTTTTCAAAAACCTAGCAGAGTAAGATGAATTAGTAGAAAGGTCTGAATAATAACACTTGTCCAAGCATCTCGTAATGTTTCCAAAGTTTGCCATAATCAATATTCTATCTTGGGAAAAGATGATTTTCACATTCATAGAGGTTTCCATGAACACACTATAAGGCTACTGTCCACAAACCATCAGTGACAGGTAATCTGAGTGGCAAACTTCTCTATTAGGAGAAGTAATTCTCTAGTTGCCGGCCGAAGGAGGCAGGTTTTAGTTGCGTTTCCCTGTGTCTAGCAGGAAATAGCTGCTTCTAACTGGGAGTGTGATGCTACCACTATGGGAAGGAGAATGAACAAGTACTGGGCTTCTGGTTTCAGCTCTGTCTCAGGATTTGTCTGACCTTAAGAAAAGCAATCTCTTGGAACCTTCATGGCCTTCATTTATAATAAAGGAGCAAGTAAGCTTTTAAGGTCCCATTTAGCTTTAGACCATAGTGAATCCATATTCATACTGATTCTGAAGAGTGGCCTCTACGTGTGCTCAATAAAATGCCAATCGTTGGTTTTGGTCAAATACTAAACTTCCTATATTCCGTAGGTCACTTTCTTCAGCACAGCCCAACGGAACTTTGTATAATAATGGAAAGATTGTGCATCCTCACAATCCAATATGGTGGTCACTGGTCACATGTGGCTACTGACTTTTAAAACGTGGTTAGTATGATGGAGGAAGTGAATATTTAATTTCAATCCAAAGGGCCACACCGGGTTATTGACTACCACATTGGAACACAGTCCCACGAGTCCTGAGATTCCAATTAAGAAACATTATTAGCAAGTCTTTGCTCTAAACCTGAAAACTGGACCCAGTTCCTACAGCAAACCTAACAGAATACTGCCAAGACTGCAGTTAGCCAGCTAAGTTTAAAATCAATTGATTTTCTTTTCTTTTCAAAGATTAAACTTCTCATTTTTCTTCTACACTTCTCTGAGGCATTCTTACAATAATTTTGCATTTTTATGTGGCACTGTTAAGTTTATGAGGTAGCACTGGGGCCCTCGCCTCTATAGTATCTCTAGATACAGTACACAGGGACAAGCTCACAGATACAGCACACTTCAGAGCTACTTTTACCCTAATCACAGCATTTATATGCTGCTGTTCCCATATGCCTTGCCCGGTACCCCCCGACTTCCCTCTGCCCCTTTGACAAAGAGATCTCCAAGAAAACAGACTGTTACCTCCTGGTGTAGGCCTGCATAGCAGAATGAAGGTCAAGAGATGAGTGGAGACGAATGGCAAGAAAGGTAAGTGGCTGCTGGGAAAGACTGCAGTCTCAGCACCCGGTCTCCCTTGGAAACTAGAAAAGGCTTGCACTGCCACTGCTATCCAGCAAGCCAGAGGCAAAGCCTGTAATTTGCTAAGAAGCTGCTACTAAGGAGGAGGAGGAGAAAGAAGGGGAGGAGAAAAGGGGAGGAAGGCAAAAGCTTGGGGCTCAGCAGAGCCAAGGCTGCTAACAGTTCCCAAAATACCATTCCATTAGATGCATATTTTATACACTATACCAAACCAATCAATACTACTTCTCATTTCATAACCAGCAAGTGGGGGTGGGAGGAATTCTTCATGTGGAAGAAGACAGCAAGAGAGATGCAGCCTTCTTCTTCTGGATATTATTTCACCTGCCCTTGGGCTATCCTAGCCCGCTGCAGCCATCTAGTGAGCTGTAAATACTGCCTTACTAGAGGCTCAAGCCTAGCCAATTGTGGTAAAGAGCCCGAGAAAAAGAAATGCACAGCAGACAAATGCAGGGACAAGTTTCAGACTCGGCATAAATAGGTTAAAGCTACAGAGAGGGAACCCGTATGCTCTGCTCAGATTGACAGTTGTTAACTACCGATGAGGCAGGTTTCTACATCTATCAGGATATGATCTGACTGCATATTGCAGGGAGGGCTGCATTCAGCTGCTCATGTTTCAGAGTGGCTTTCTAGTTCTATGCTGAAATCAGAGTTTAAGTTTAAGCAAGGAGCCAAAGCTACATCTCCACTAGTCAGAATCATCAAGAAGAAAAAGAAAAGGGGTGTGTGTGTGTGTATCTGGGCCCAAACCCTCTTAGCTGAACTATGCATATCCGGAATTCTCAAGACCAGTAGTTTTCAATAAAAGACCCTTCCCTTCCTCCTGGAGGCAAAATAAGAATTACCTGGCCCAAAATGTTAACGGGATTTGCAAAAATTTCTGGAAAGGGCCAGCCAGTAAATCTCTCAGGCTTTGTGGGGTTCCCCACCAATTTTTTTTAGTGCCAAAGCAATGACAAACAATGTATAAATGAACAGCCAGGCTGTGTGCCTGGTGCTTGCCTAGAGGCAGAACTGAACAGTTGCAGAAGAAACCATGTGGCCCACAAAGCCTAAAATATTTACTGCCTGGTCCTTTAAAGAAAAAATTTACTGTTTCTGCGCTAAATTCTAAGGTATAGAGCAAACCGCAACTCAGAGAATGCCTTTTGTTTATTTGCAATTCTGATGCTTCCGTGACCTACCTTAGACAAACACTATATCATCCTGAATTCTTGTCGTTCAGAACATTTGTTCTGTTAAAAATACTC